ATTTTTTGAAAAATTTTTTTTTATATTTAAATTTTGAAAGAGGTAGAGAGAAAGAAATATATAAATTTAAAAAATGAATTTTTATTTGAAGCTAAAATCCCTGTCATGAGTTGGAAGTTTATATGCAGGTGCCCAAACTTTTCCTTTTTAAATAAATCTTCGCTCCTTTAAATTTATTTAATTATTTAAATTTGGAAATATTTAAAAGTATTTATTGATTTAAAAAAGTTTTGTGGAATTTGTAAAGATTTTAAAGAAAAATTAAAATAAATGAATAAATTGTTTTATTTTAAAGTTTTGTCCAAATTTGTTATTCATTTAATTTAAAATCCAAAATATCTAAAAACAAAAATTTCGTCTCCTCAGGCATTAGGTACACAAATTGTTTTTGATAGTTCTAGGTAATTATAATCCCATACAAGTTCACCACACAATTTTATTTTTCCAATATTTAATTTTTAAATATTTTTTTAATTTTAATATTTATACACTAACAACAATTTTCATTATAGAAATGTTTAAAATAAGAAGGAAATAACTTTTTAAAAATTTAATTTATTTTTGCCGAAAATGAAAAAATTAATTAAAACTTTAAATTAACTTTAATTATTTTTTTTCATTTTTAACAATGTTAGTCTATATTATTTTGTTATCCCTTCCCTACTTTTATTATTTTTTGTTATCTTTTTAAAAGAAATTTTTACATCTGGCAGTTGTTCCATTTTTTGTTTTTCTTTGTTTAAAAATTAAAAATAAGTACATATTTTTTTGTTAATTAAATTTATCTCAATAAATGACTGACCAACAAAAATTATTAATTATATTACAGCCTAATAATGTTGAGAGAAAAGAAAGGACTTTATTAAATGCTCCAATTAATGTAAAAAGAATTAAAAATAAAAATAATTAATTAAAAATTCCCTAGATTCGTTTTTATGGTGCTTGTATAGCCTGTACTGTTATTGATGTTATTTTAATTTTTTTAACTTTACTTGCATATTTTTATCCAAATCCTTTTCGAAGAACTCCCCTTTATAAACAAATATTTCAAGTAAATTAATTAATTATTTTAAAATTAAAATTAAAAAAAAGAAATTGGATCGTTTTACTATTCAATTTTGGTATTCAATTACTTTGTTGGCTTTAACTATTTTCTTTTTTCTTCATTTTTTAAGTGTTGGGGGTTCTTTATTAAGTATTCAGGTAAAAAAAGGGAAGGAAAGCAGAAGGCGGTCGGAACAGTCAGAGGTGTCGGAAATCGGAAGAGCCGGAAATCGGAACTTCAAAAATTGTCGGAAATCGGAAATTTTTCCAAAATTTCGAAAATCGAAAGGAAAAAAACTCGGAAATCAAAATTCCGACCCACCTCTGAAGGAAAGGAATAGGAAATTATTTAAAAAAAAATATTTCTTTAAAAAAGATTCGAAAACCTCTAATATTTATTCCTCAATTAATTCTTTGTTTATTGGCCGTTCTTTTACAACTTTTACTTTTCTCTGTTTGTATAACAATTAGGTAATTATATATAAATAATTAAAAATAAATAATTATTTTTTAAATATTTTAAAGTATTGTTAGTGATGATACAATGTGGGGAATTGCTATATTCTCTTTATTTTTGTTATTTTTGTTTGGGTAATTTAATTTATTTTTAATTAAATTTAATTTAATTAAAAGTATTTATTTGGCAATTTCTGTATTTACTTTTAAACAATTATTGTTTGAATGTGATGATTTTAAGAAAATGTTGGCTAATTCAAAATCTGTACATTTTAAAGAAGAAAATAAACGAAAAAAATAATTTTTTTAAATGGTCACTTTCTCTTTAAAAAATATTTCAATTAAATATATTTTATTTTGGCCCCAATTGACTAATAAAATAATTTTTTATTTCCTTTTTTAATAATAAAATAAAAAAAATATTTTTTTAAAATTAATTCCTTTTTTCTTTTAAATATTTAAAAATATTCTCTTTTCTCCCTAAAAAAACTTTTATTTAATTTTACCAAAATAAACTAATTGCAAAAATTTAAAATCAGAAAATACTTTCTTTCCCTTCCTTTTTATTTAATAAATTTTTGTTGGTCTTTTAAATTGTGAATGTAAAAATAAAAAATTTGGATGCTTTTCTTATAAAATTTTGAAGAAAAAATAAATAAAATATTTAAATTTCTAATTCCCTCCTCCCCCCTCCCCTTATTAAAATATTGTTTAAATACAAACTCTCCATTTTACATATTTTTTATTTATTAAAAATTGCAACAAAATTTACATTTTTAATCAGAAAAATAATAATAAATAATTAAAAAGTTTTGTATTATTTTGAACCAAAAGAAAACAAAAAAAACTTTTTTAGCTTTTTTCTAAAAATTGTTTGAATAAATATGTATAAAACAAATTTTAATAAAAATTGTAATTTATTTAATTAATAAAAAAAGGATTAATTAAATTTTTAAATAAAAAAATATTTTTATTCTTTTAATTTTTTTTCTATTTTTAGAAGGACCACCAAATAAAAAGTCAAAAGTTAAATAAAATGTGCAAAGAATTTATTTTTAAATATACCTTTTTCTTTTAAATTTCTTTCATTATTTTATAACAAAAAATATATATTTATTTCCTTCTAAACCAATTGTTTTATTCCAAAAAGTTTATTGTCTTTTCTCTCCCTCTCCCTCTCCCTTTCTCTCAATTTTTAATTTTGGCTTTTCTCTTTAAAAAAAAGATTTACAGATATATCTGTGAAATAGCTAAAAAAAACCCCCAAAAATTTTCTTTTTCATTTCCCCAAATCGATTTCTTTATTTTTTTCTGATTTTCTGTTAAATAAGTATACAGATTTTTTATGTCCATTTACTTGGATATTAAATAAATATGTGTGTATTTTTAAAAAGAAAAATAAATCAAAGAAAGATTATACTAAATATTATTTTTAAAATTAAATTGATAAAAACTTAATGGGTTTTTTTAAATATTAAAATTTAATTAAAAAATAAATTCTTTATTTTATTAAAATTTTGTTAAAAACTTCAAAGTTTTTTTTATTTGAAAGCCGATCACTCTTTTAAAATTAATATTTTTTATTTTAAAATTAATTTTTAAGTAAGAGGTTACTAATTAAACTTTAAAAATTATTTTTATCTATATTTAAAATAAAACACCTGTCTTTTAAAATTTATTTTTTAAAACAAATATTTTCTCCTTTAATTACGAATATTGCTTATTTTTTAATTGCTCTTTTTGTTATTAAAAAAGAGAAGAAATGATTAATTAAGGATTTAAAGTTAATTAATCTTCAAAATTAAAGTTTTAAAATATTTTATTTAATTTTTAAAGTGTTGGACAAATTGCTTATTTTTCTTTTAAAAATTTTAATTAAAATTATTAAATTTTAAAAGTTTAAAATTAGGATTTTTTTATTTTTTTTTAAATATTTTTCAAATTTATTAAATAAATTTTAGATTAATATTTTTTAAAAATACTAATTTATTTTTAGCTTTTTTTAAAAAAATATTTGTTGTTTTATTTCCCTTTCATTCCAAAAACTTCCAAAAATGTTTGCAATATTCCGGCGTATTCGCTTTTTCTACAAAAAATTAAAATTACAAAGATTGAGGTATTTTGTGCCTTTAATTGTTTTGATTGCCTATACTGTTGGGGGTGCTTATATATTTAGATATTTTGAATTACAAGAAGACGAGGAAAGAAGAATTAGATATAGACAAAATACTGAATATGCTTTTAAAAGAGTAAAATTGATTTATTCTAATTTTAAAAATATTTTGACCTAAAAAAGGATGATTCACCCTAGCAGCATTTAAAACGCCTAGGCGGGGGTTAAACGATCTAAAAGGATAAAAGAGAAAGCATTAATGCCCCGGTGAGCTACTGTATGTGGTGAGAGAAAGGTCTTAGGAATAACTGAGGAGGTCGCAGGTTCGAATCCTGCCCGTGGATAAACTTTTGCTAAACTCTTTCCTTTATAATAAGTACTAATATCAAAAATTAGAAATTCCAAAAAAAAATTATTTTTTTGAAATAATTTATTTAGACACTTAATCGAATGCTTGAAGTTCGGTGTGAAAATGGTCTTGAAGATACAGATAAAGCTTTACAAAATAGACATGTAAAAGAACATCTTTTTTGGTTAATGGATTATTTAAATTTAACACAAGTAATTGAAGAAAGATCAGGTATTTCCCCTTGGACTTGGATGGGGGCTATGTTTTATGCTGGTCAACTTTATACAACAATTGGTTATTCTTTAATTTAAAAATATATTTGTTGAGAAAGAGAAGGACTAGAAAAAACTAAAATATTTTAATAACATTCTTTAAATTAAAAAATAATTTTTTAATTAAAGGTTATGGATTGCCAGCCACACAAACATCTGGAGGAAGATTAGCTAGTATTATTGTTAGTTAATATACAAATATTTATTTAAATTTAATTTTAAATTTAAAAGTATATAATGATTGGAATTCCTTTATTTTTAATAATTCTTGCCGAAGTTGGTAAATTACTTTCTCATGGATTGAGAAAACTTTATAAAAAAATGCATAAAATGAAAAGAATTCCTGAAGCTGCCAGAAAAATGAGTGAACCGATGAAAGTAATTATAATTTAAATTAACAAATTACTAGAGTTTCATCGAAAGTTCCGGTTCCAGTCAAAATTTCGGTTCCGGTGAAACACTCCAAATTACCCTCTCCCTTTTATAATTCCCTCTGTATTCCCTCACCTCCACACTCCCCCTTTTTAATTCACCTTTTAATTATTTAAAAAGGCAATTTACCATATGACAACATCCTTGGCAAGTACTGCCGTTGGTCCTTTAGCTTTACAAATTTTAAGTGCGAATAATGAAGAAGAAAAATTGGAAGCTAAAAGAAAAGCAGAAATTAAAGTTTTTTCCTAAAAAATAATTTTTTAATTTTTAAAATTAACAATCAGGCATTGGCAAAAGCATCTAAAGGAGAGAAAAAATCTTTTCCAATTCCTTGGGCATTAACTATTTTAATTGTTTGGATTTTATTTAGTGCTGCACTTTTTTGTATTTGGGAAAGTGAATGGGGATATATGACTTCTGTTTATTTCTTTTTTGTTTCTATTAGGTAAATAAATGAATGGGGGAATAAAATAGATAAAATTATTTATTTAAGTACTGTTGGATTAGGTGATTTAGTGCCAACTAAACCAGATTTGATGGTGAGTTATTATTGTTAGTAATAATTTAACGAGGAACTTAACTTTTCTTTAAAATTTTTTAAAAGGGAGAAGAAAGATAAATTTAGAAAAATTTAATTTTCGATATTAATTAAAATAAATTCTCTTTATATTTTAATCTCCAAATTAATTCCAAATTTTTTAGATTATTAATTTTTTCATGATTTTAATTGGTTTGGCATTGCTGTCAATGTGTGTTAATTTAATTCAAGTAATTAAATATTTATTTTAAAAAATATTTTTTTAAAAATTTATTTAGGAAGCATTACAAAAATTAATTGAAAGATTAATAGAACAATATATTGATGAAATAGAAAAAATAGCTGCTGTTGTGACAAATAATGAAATAAATGAATTTACTGAAGAATTGGAACCTTTTAATGTTGGTGAAATTAATGGTAAATTTAAAAGAAATTGTCCTTTAATAAAGATTTAATTAAAGAAATGTCTTTACCTATAGCAACATTAAATATAGAACAACCAAGAATAGTAGTAGAAAATGGAGGAGGAATTGGGAGAACAGTAAAAGATTGGTTTGCTGAGAAAGCTAGTAGTATATTACTTAATAAGGTAAACTACTTATTCTCAACAAAAAAAACCCTCACAAAATTTTCTTTTTTTAAAGATTTATCCAGTCTCGAATTCCCTTTCCTCTTCTGATTCTGAAGAAGAAGAAAAGGATAGAGAAAATGTTAATTTGCCTGATTTAGAAGAAATAATTGTTAAAACAGAACCAGTTAAAGCACAAATAACTATACATAAACATTCTTTGGATGAAAATAAAATTGTGGAAGATGAAAATCTTCCACAAATTGAAATTCATGAAGGAACACCTTTAAGAATTGAAGAAATGCCTAAAAATCAAATAAAATTAGAGAAAGCACAAGTTAATATTAATAAAGGAATTATTTATGGAGGAACATCTACAATCGGTTAGAATGGATATATTTTATTAGAGTTGGGGGCCCGGTTCGAAAGATCGAATCGGACATCTAATCTTGGCCCAAAGACTCGAATTGCCCATTCGATAAAAATTAGGCCCGAAAAAATTACTCGAACGTCGACCCGATTCGAAAACCCTAACCCTATATTTTAGGTTAAAGAAATTACAAGGGGTGAATTATTGAAAGCAGTAAATACTTTACTTTAATCCCCTTTTCTTTTTTCATTAAACATTTGCCGAAATAAATAACACTTTTAGATTCAACACCTACTCGAGAAGGGATCTCTTTCCAGAAGCGACATAAAAAACCTCCAAAATTACCCAAAGATTATGCTGGTGCTCTTTTAAAATTTAGTGCTCCCACAATGCAAGCAATTCGAGCAATTGAAAATTCTCGACTTAAAAATGGGCAAATTGGAAATGATTTTAAGTAAATATTTTTAAATATTTTTTTAAAAATTTTTCTCTAAAAGATCACGTCTCTTTGCTAAATTTGCAACAAATCAAAGATTTGCAGAAATTGTTGAAAATAATGCTCCTCCTCCTAAAAAGATGGTTAGTAGTAGTATTCAAACATCTCCTCGTCAATCACCAATTCGTTCAATACCTCAAAAAAGTTGGCGATTAAGAAGACTTGGTTGTGGAATTGGTAATTTTTAATTGAAATTACCTTCATTTAAAAGAAATCTTTTGAAAAAAACGTTAAAAATCTAATAAATATTTTAATAGAATCGATGGATTCAACCTCTTCTGATTTAAATGTTACCCGAACAACTACAAACGATGCAAGTAATCCAAGTTGTAGTGCCAATGATTTAGATTCATTATATTCAAATACTTATTTTGATGTTTGTTTTGGTAATTACCACACAGATTCTGTCCCTTCTTTAATGGCAATTACTCCTTTATTACCACAATCTTCCTCCCAAATAGCTATGGCCAATTCGAAAAAATTGGGTGAAAGACGTTCAAGTTTAGCATTAAAAAGAAGATTTTCTGATAAATTATTTTTTGGTCTTTTTGGAAGACGTATTAATGAAAACCCTCAAAAACCAAAACCAAAATTTATTGTTGGTGGAAATGCTAAATTAGGAAGACATGATTCTGATGATGATAATGACGAGGATGATGACAACGAATTAAATAGACATGAAAGTGAATAATTAATTAATTTTAATGAATTATTTTTTGAATTTAAAAATATCCTTTTTTAGGCCAACAACATTCTCGAAGAAAACGAAGGCCTTTGTCCCAAAGCTTTTCCTCTCCCTCATTTCCTCTTATCAACCCTCAATGTTTATCACCAACAGATAAAAATAATAAGACGATAACATCACCAGTATCAATCCCTACAACTCCAATAATTCATTTAACAGATATGGCAATTAATAGAAAATTTAAATTGGGGATGACACCAAGTCCAAGCCCTGCTGAAAGAATTTCAAATTTTAAACAAGGTAGATAAGAGATTATTTTTAAAAAAATAATAAAATTCTTTAAGTAACAAAACCCTCGACTTCTAATGAAAATATTTTAATACAAGGAAAAAGAGCGAGAAGAAATAGCCGCGTTTGTGGGCTTGCTATTGGCTCTAATCCTTTAGGTTGTGTTCCTCTCCATCATAGAACACTTTCAACAAGAAGGAGATTTTCTGCATATGCCAGTATTTCCCCTCCTCCTCTTCTTAATCGTTGGGGAGAAAATTTTGTTGTTGATGAAAGAAAAGGAAAAGAAGAAGAGGAAGAAGAAGAAGGAGAAAATGCTGGAATAAATGAAAAGAAAGTTGAAGAAGAGAAGGAAGTATAAAAAGTTCAAAATTCAAAAATGGACAAAAGATTTGTTTTGAAATTGGAATATGTATAGTAACATTTAAAACTGAAGAAAAACTGGAAAATAATTCAAAAATGAGTTAAATTAGAAAATTAAACTAATAATTAGAAAAGAAGTAAATGAAAAAGAAGATACATATATAATTTTCAATTTTATTGGAAGAGGAAAACAAATAAAACAGGGCGCGCGGACACAATGAACAAAGCCATAACTAGCCGTAAAATTTCTGGCCCTTATCAATTGATACCAAATTTCTTTAGATTGATGAGATGAATCGTTTAATACATACTAAAATTGTTAAGCTTCTGTCCAATCTCTAGTAAATATTTATTTTCAAATTATTTTTGTATGTATATTTAATTAATAAAATTTTCTCTTATTGCAATCATTTAATTTACTGTATTTGTTCGACGAAATTCTTCTTCAAAAGCTGCTACAAGTTCATAAGCAATAGGCCCACTATTTGTTACTAATGCAATCTAAAAGGAGCAATTTAGGAATTCATGTGCAACAGACTAAACAAGCAACGGAAAATGGAAATCCAATGCAAAAGAAAAATTTTCAGCTAGGCTTTAAGAGAGAACCAAAGAGAAATTCAGAGAGAACCAAGGAGAAACTCGAACAATTTACAAATTAATTTGATGCAACTTAAACCTAAAAGCTCAAACTATGGGAAGCAGCTTACATACAAGGCTCAAAACAATGTCAGAAAGAATTAAAAACTCAAGAACTTTTTCCAAATTTATTTATCAAACATTCAACAAACAAATATACAAAAAATAGCAAATAGAAAAGGCTTACAACAAAATATGAACAATTATGATGGAAAATGAGGGAAAAATTATCACATTACAAAAAGTTTGGGGAATATACATATCACAATCCTATGAGTTCCTGTCATTGCCCACATCACTCGTCGAACTTCTGTCCTGGCTTCGGTTTGCGACACAGCACCAAGAATTTGTGGACAGCTGGTCCCTCGAAGCGCTCGTCCTTGCCAGCGACGACAGCCGATGCACGCTCGTTGCGAATGTCCGCTTTGCCGAGAGCCTCCTTGCCATTTGGTAGAGTTAGCAGGCATGGCGAGATGTTTCTTGAAAGGAATAATAAAATTTAAGGGTTAGCTCAAGGTATTATATGATCGATACCTTTCACGTGGTCCACGTGTACTGGATAGTACACTCGGGAGTTCTTGTCATAGACGGCAGCATCACTCCACGGGCGCCAAAGGTAGTCGTAGCCGCGAACTTGCTCAGGAAGGTCGACGAGGACTTGAATGGAGCCAATATTGTCGGTGAAGGCCTTGCCGTTCCAGCCAAACGCAGCAGCGACCTGAACTCAAAAAAAACCACAAACTAATTTATTTATAAGAAATAAATTTTTTCTCACCTTTCCACCATTGTTCCAGATGCGGCCCATCACAGGTTCACCGTGCACATACCACAAGGCCACATGCTGCTCAGCAGAGTCTCCAGCCGTTGCGTTCAGCGTCTTGTCACCAGCTCTCACCGTCCTATATCCTGGCCATGGGTCTCCCATCCTGATGTCTGCCCACTCGTTCAGCATGATGAGCACTGGCGGCGGTCCCTTGGGGCAGCTGGCGCACACACATCCTGGAGGGCCTCCTTTCAGATTTCTAAAAATGGGATAAATTTTAAAGACGCACCTAAACACCTAAACGTACCGAATAATGATCATCATTTCCGAGAGCGGTTTTCCAACGACGCATTCTGCCTTGCCAGCTTGTGAAAAGTAGGCTTCTTCCGTCTTCATGTTCAAGTAGCCGAGCAGTGTTCCACCAGGACGATTAACCCATAGAATGGGCATCGAGTCGCCGCACCGAACCAGTTGACGTTGATCGGTCTTCTCGAAACGGTCCTTGTACTTGATCCACTCGTACCAATAGCCGAGCGAGTTGTGGTCTCCTTTGTACTGCAGCACCTTAAGGAAAGAAAAAAAGGTTATAGATTAGCTTACTAAAAAAAGACCCAACGCACCTGAATCATGCCGCCAAGATCTACTTTCCCTGTGAGCTCAGCCTTGCCGTACGGAAATGAAGCTTGTACAACGCCACCGTCGTTCCATGCGTAGCCGTGCACCGGCTTTCCGTTCTTGTACCACAGTGCGACGTACATGTTCTGCTGGCCCAGCACTTTGACAGGATTGTCCGGAAATGGCGACCCGATCGGATTGAACGCCCACGTATCCTCCTTCGGCGCAGGGTTTGGCATTGCGGCTTGCGTTGACGTAACTTGCGATGATGATGTGATGGACGAGATGAGTTGTTGACGGTGGGGAGTGGTCAAAAACCGTTGTTTTTATAGTTATTTTGAGTTGCACAATGCCACCTTCAATGAAAGCTATAAAAACAACGGTTTTTGACCACTCCTCACCGTCAACAACTCATCTCGTCCATCACATCATCATCGCAAGTTACGTCAACGCAAGCCGCAATGCCAAACCCTGCGCCGAAGGAGGATACGTGGGCGTTCAATCCGATCGGGTCGCCATTTCCGGACAATCCTGTCAAAGTGCTGGGCCAGCAGAACATGTACGTCGCACTGTGGTACAAGAACGGAAAGCCGGTGCACGGCTACGCATGGAACGACGGTGGCGTTGTACAAGCTTCATTTCCGTACGGCAAGGCTGAGCTCACAGGGAAAGTAGATCTTGGCGGCATGATTCAGGTGCGTTGGGTCTTTTTTTAGTAAGCTAATCTATAACCTTTTTTTCTTTCCTTAAGGTGCTGCAGTACAAAGGAGACCACAACTCGCTCGGCTATTGGTACGAGTGGATCAAGTACAAGGACCGTTTCGAGAAGACCGATCAACGTCAACTGGTTCGGTGCGGCGACTCGATGCCCATTCTATGGGTTAATCGTCCTGGTGGAACACTGCTCGGCTACTTGAACATGAAGACGGAAGAAGCCTACTTTTCACAAGCTGGCAAGGCAGAATGCGTCGTTGGAAAACCGCTCTCGGAAATGATGATCATTATTCGGTACGTTTAGGTGTTTAGGTGCGTCTTTAAAATTTATCCCATTTTTAGAAATCTGAAAGGAGGCCCTCCAGGATGTGTGTGCGCCAGCTGCCCCAAGGGACCGCCGCCAGTGCTCATCATGCTGAACGAGTGGGCAGACATCAGGATGGGAGACCCATGGCCAGGATATAGGACGGTGAGAGCTGGTGACAAGACGCTGAACGCAACGGCTGGAGACTCTGCTGAGCAGCATGTGGCCTTGTGGTATGTGCACGGTGAACCTGTGATGGGCCGCATCTGGAACAATGGTGGAAAGGTGAGAAAAAATTTATTTCTTATAAATAAATTAGTTTGTGGTTTTTTTTGAGTTCAGGTCGCTGCTGCGTTTGGCTGGAACGGCAAGGCCTTCACCGACAATATTGGCTCCATTCAAGTCCTCGTCGACCTTCCTGAGCAAGTTCGCGGCTACGACTACCTTTGGCGCCCGTGGAGTGATGCTGCCGTCTATGACAAGAACTCCCGAGTGTACTATCCAGTACACGTGGACCACGTGAAAGGTATCGATCATATAATACCTTGAGCTAACCCTTAAATTTTATTATTCCTTTCAGGAAACATCTCGCCATGCCTGCTAACTCTGCCAAATGGCAAGGAGGCTCTCGGCAAAGCGGACATTCGCAACGAGCGTGCATCGGCTGTCGTCGCTGGCAAGGACGAGCGCTTCGAGGGACCAGCTGTCCACAAATTCTTGGTGCTGTGTCGCAAACCGAAGCCAGGACAGAAGTTCGACGAGTGATGTGGGCAATGACAGGAACTCATAGGATTGTGATATGTATATTCCCCAAACTTTTTGTAATGTGATAATTTTTCCCTCATTTTCCATCATAATTGTTCATATTTTGTTGTAAGCCTTTTCTATTTGCTATTTTTTGTATATTTGTTTGTTGAATGTTTGATAAATAAATTTGGAAAAAGTTCTTGAGTTTTTAATTCTTTCTGACATTGTTTTGAGCCTTGTATGTAAGCTTCTTCCCATAGTTTTGGCTTTTAGGTGAGCTTTAAAGCTGTCAGGCTTTGCCTCGTTGTTTGAGTTTTTTCCTAGATTCTCGATGTAAGAGCTTATTCTAAGCTAAAAATTTTCATCTCTGTTAGAGCTTCGAGTTCCTTCCTTTTGAAACCTATTTTCTCCAAAAAAACTCCATTTTACCTTTCTCCACCCATAATGTTCCACCATTCTTATCACAGCTTTAGCAATAGAATTTGTATTTTTTGAGGAAAGGCGTGCTAATGTTTTGTAAATATTTCTGTCAGAAACTGCTGTCGATCTAGGCATATAAGAGATTGCTGGAATATTCCAAAATGAACACATTTTTGCAACGGCCTCGAATTCTTACAAAGAAAATTTAAAAAATTCTTTGAAAAAAATTTTAATTACCGCTAGCACAGTAAGGTCCTAAGAAAGCTCTGACTTTCTAAAAATACACAAAAAAATATTTTTTCTTTTAAATTTTAATTTACCTCTTTATGATACATTGAAGCAGCAACAGCAACTCCTTCAAAAGTATCGCCACATGATGCTGCTGATTGGAGTTTTTATAATTTTGATTTAGAATTTTAAAGTTTCAATTTGATACTCGATTCTTGAGAAAGGAGTTTTCAATAACAGTTTCTCCTTCCCTAATCTTCGACAATTCAATTAAAATGGAGCGGAAATTTCAAACTCGAATAATTGCCCTCCCCTCTATTTATTAACCCTCAATAATTACTCAGGGTAGTAATTTATTTAAATAACTTTAAACAATTTTGGAATAGTTTTCCCTTTTTTCCACCCACAAGAATGTATGTAAAATTGAGATCCGATTCAGCTGTAATTGAAATGTTAATTATTTGTGTACTTTTAAAAGATCATTTAAAATCCATGTGAAATACATATTTTATTAAAACAAAAGTTTTTTTTCTAAAGAATTTTTTATTTAAAAAAATCTTTAGCTTTCATTGACGTAAATTTCTATTTGTCTTTAACTTAATTTTTTAAGTAAATTTTTAACTCAATACTTAAACTCAATAAAAGCACTCTCATTCTTTCTTCTTGTTTTTTTCTTCGAAATTTTTGAAGACTAGAAGACTTTTTTAAATTTATTTATTTTTTCTAAAAAATCTTATTTCTATTCTTCTTTTTACTCTCAATTCTTAAACACATATTATTTCCAAACATTCTTTTCCTTTTTTCGATTATTTTCTTCAAAAATATTTTTTAAAATGATTTTTAAAATATTATTTAAATTTTAAAATAATTATTTCCATTCAATTTATATTTTAGTACATTTAAAATATAAATTTAATTTTTTAAAGTAAAAAAGTATTGTTCAATTTAATTTAAATAAAATGAAAATTTTTTTTATTTTATTGGAGCGTTAAAAATTTATTTTTCTTTTAAATTATTTTTTGAATATTAAGTAAAAACTGCTAAATAATATTTTATTTATTTTCCTTATAAAACAAACAAAAATAAAATTTTGTATTTTTATTTTTTCTTTAATTATTTTTATAATTAATTAACCATTTTTCTCATTTGAAAAAGACTAACCAAAATGTGTGTGGTGTATTTATAAATAAATATTTTTAGTGTCACATACATTTTTTTAAAAGGATTGTTTTATTTAATCATTAGAGAGAGAGAAATTTGTGAATTGATTTTATTTTTTAAATTTAATAATAAATAGACAAGTTAAAAATGAAAAAATTTTTTTATTAAATATTTTATTCAGAAAAAGATTTTTTTAAACTTAAATATTTTATACCAAATATTATCTTTCCAAAATTATCTCAAAAAAAATAAAATTTAATTATTAATTTATTTCGTTGTCTGGGTGATATTAATTATTTTTATAAAAAATTATTTTTCTTTTAATTTACCCCTTTTTCAGAAAATGAGCATTTTTAAAATAATTTTTATTTAATTCTTTTGACGTAAAAATGGATAAATTTTTTGTAAATTTATTTTAAGAAATTTAAATAAAAGTTTTATTGAAACTTTTTTTAATATAAATAATTGTGGTTTGAATTTTAAAAAATATTTCTAAGGGGTTAATTAATTATTTATGTATATTATTTTTTTTTAGAAATTCTCTTCAAATTTTAATGAAAATAATTATTTATTAAATAATTTTTTAAAAATAAATAATTTAAAAGTGTGTTTGTTTGTGTCAGGCACTAGATCCATATATTCGTGTATAAATAGATGTGTGTGGATATTTATTTATTGCTTGCCCTATTGAATGGAATTTTTGGGGCAAATGGTTTTTTTTAAATATAGAAATCGATGCTTTAATGTTTTTTTTATTTTCTTCTTCCTCAAAAAGCTTTTTCTTTTTATTAAATAAAATGAAATTATTTATTTAGAATTTGTTATTTACAAATTAAATAAATAAATTTATTTAAAAAAATATTTATTTCGTCAGTTTTTTTAAATTAATATTTATTTTTAGAGTATATTAATATAATTAAATTAATTTAACTTAAATATAAATTAAACAAAAATTAACTTAAAAAAATCCTTTTTCTCTTTACATCATTAATACATCAATTTTTCAAAATTTGTAAATAAATAAAAATATTAACCCAAAAAATTTTCTTAAAGTTTTTTCCACTTTAAACAAACAATTTAAAGTTAGCACCTGTTTAGTTCGAGTTATCCACAAAAAGAAATTTGATATATTTTATTTATTAACAACAAAACACGCAACAGAAAATCTTTAATAAATAAATAAAAATATTTTCTTTTAAATAAATTATTTTTTTAATTATTTAAATTTTCCTTTTAGCAATATATTTATATTTATCTATTAATTAATTCTTTTTAACTAAAAAAATATTTATTTTTATTTTTTAATCTTTAAACGACTAAAAATAAACAAAATAAAAAGCAGAGGAAAATATTTTTTACTTTTTTTTATTTAATTGCGGATGGCCTCAATAGAAGAGGGTAACAACATTCATCAAAAGCAACAACCCCCCTCAACTATTGGACGTGCCCAACAGCAAAAGTAAATAATTACTTTAAACAAAAAAAATTATTTAAATCTAAATTTAAAGCAAAGTGCCATCAGCACTTCGCCCCTTGCTGGAGGCATTTGCTCGAGAAACGTTACGATCTCAGCCAGCTGATTTGGTTAAATTTGGGTGTTGCTTTTTTAATACACTTGACAAACATTGTGAAAGTTTGTAGAAAATTCCCTCTCTCTTTCAAATATTTTAATTTAATTTTAAAGTAAAAACTCCAAACGGAATCGAAAATTTATTGAGTGGAAATAAATCAGCTTATAATTTATTTCGAATTGAATTACAAGAAAACTTCCAATTAATTACAAAAACGGCCAATTCAAATTTAACAAAAAACGGCGGTGGAGGGGGATCCCCAGTTAATTGCTCTCGCCGCCACAACAATCAACAAAGACCTAATAGTCCAATGGATATTGCTGCAACTAAAATACAAGCTGCATTTCGTGGACATCTTGTTAGCTTTTTTTAACTATTGAAAGTTAAATAATTTAGGGTACATAGTAATTTGTTGAATAAATTAATTTAGAAATAATTAACACCAAAATTATTAATTTTTCATAATTATTATTTATTCAAAAGCCCCTAATAAACGAAAAAGAAGTTTATTCTTTTAGAAACTAAAATAAACAGAAATATTATTTTTTTAAAAAGGATTTATTTTAAATAATTTTCTTTTTTTTGGAAAATTGTGAGGGAGGGAGATAATGATTATATTTTTAGTAAAAGGATTCTCTCTTTTTTTAAATATTTGGATGGCATTTTAGAAAAGAAAATTGCTTTTTTTGTGACGGCATTACTTGGGGGCATTTTACACTGACATTCTGCCAGCCAACAAATTACTTTTTAAGCTTTTTTAGTTAAGACAAAAAAAGCTTTATTGTAAAAGGAAAAAATGCTTCTTCTTTTTAAAAAATATTTTTAGATCAATAAATTGTTATTTAATTATCAAATAATCTTTTCATTTACATCTCTAAAATATTTTTAAAAAAATACCTATATTTTTCCCTAATTTCAATTAAAATTTATTTCCAGTTACGCTCTCACCCAGAAAAGTTTGGCTTGGACTCTACCAAAATCAACGGAATTTGCCAACGGCAAAGAATGCGTCGAAATTCAAATGAACGATTGGCTTTATTTGATAATCGAAAAGATTTAAAGTAACTAGATTTACTGTTTTAAACAAAAAATTAAAAAATTCCTTTAGACGTCATTCTGTCGGTGGTTATAGCCACGCCCAACAATTAACAGCATCCCCTGAAGACCGTGCAGCAACAAAAATCCAAGCAGAAATTCGTGGGTATTTAACTCGAAAACATATAGAAAATGAAAAGAAACAAAACCAAACTGCCGCTACAAAAATACAGGCACATATTCGGTTAGAAAAGAAGAAAATTTAAATATTTTTTTAAAATTAAAAATATTTTTTAGCGGGTATTTAACGCGTAAACACTTGGAAGAAAAAGGTGTTTTAGTTAGCCCTCCACGTTCTCGAACTTCTACAAATGCTCGTTCTGAAATGAAAAATGGAATTGATTTTTGAGAAATAAAAAGAATTTTTTAATGCTAAAATCAAATCTCTAGTAAATTTTTTTGGGATTGGAAAAATAATAAAATATTAGTTAGAGAGGTTTGATTGGTTGATTTCTCGTTTATAACATTTTTTCTTTTGTACTATTTACATACCTATTTCTTTTTTTTTAATTTCAAGCTTTAAATTTAAAAACTTCATTTTTTATACCTATAAAATTTAAACTTTTCCAGTAACAAAAAAAACAAAATTAAACGGTTAAATTTTTGTTGAATTCAGAATCCAATATCCAATTATAACACCAGGGATGTAAAATCATTAAAAATTAAATCAACTATTCCTCTTGACTACCCCTTTCCTTTTAATAATGAGAGAAAATTTCTTCATCTTTCATTTTTGTGTCATTGACCATTTTATAACTTTTTTCATTTCTGACCTTTTTATTAAATTATTAAAAAGTTTTTTGGCACGAAGTGTTAAAATGCTAATTTTCGATTAACCAATTTTACAATTCGTTCCTTTTGTTTTGTTGGAAGAGGGTTAATCAATTGTGATTTTGATCTTTTCCGTTTAAATTGCTTTTTTTTTATAAAATTTTGGAAACATTAAAAAAAGAAATGTCGGTAAAATCGATATAAATTGCGTGGAGATATTTTAAATAAATTTAATTATTAATAATTTTTTCAGTTGTTAATTCATTTATTATTTGACTCCTTTTAAATGTTAAGTGAAACAACTCGAAATAATTCTATTTTACCTGAGGAATCGACGAGGATGTTAATGTATCTAATTTTCTTTGAATTAAATTATTTTCAATTTCAAGGCAACCTTCAAGAATTCCAAATAATTCAGCAATTACCTCAACGCCTCAGCAAAATAATGGTGCAGACATGTCAGCAATTAATACACAGTAATTTTTAATTTTTTTATGGAATTAAAAAGTCTGAACCCGATAGAATCACCCCCACCCCTCCCAAGGAAACTTCTATTTGGTCAGTGGGACGATTTATATCTTTGGTATCGTGATTTTAAGTTTTGATTTCACCAATGAAAAATATTTTACTCGGACTTTGAAATTTGTCGATTTGCATCCGTCAAGAATTCTCGAAAAAAATTTTTCGAGTGAGCTCGTCGAGCTGAATCGAAAGATATTTGTTGAATTTATTCCTTTGTAAACTTTTACAACTTATAAAACCTTTATTTCTTTATAATTGCAGAACTGTTACAAAGAAGAGAACACGCCAACAAACTGTTACTGTCGAAAATGCTTTTCCTTCTAAGGACATTGAAAATATTTTTAATCGAATTCAAAGCGTATATCTTAATTTAATTTTTTACCGATTTTCATCCGTTTTTCAGTCACCTGCTTCTGAAAATCAAATGATGGAACTTCAACGACAAGTCCAAATGTTTTTTATTCAAAAAGAGCGTGAATGGGAGAATAAACTTACTCAAGTATTTTATTTTTAATTATAAATAGTTTTTGAATTTTTTTTATAAAATTAGATTAAGCCGCCAGACAACGAAGAATTAGCATTATCCAAAATTAAATTGAAAAGTGGACAAGCTATGATTTCTAGAATTGAAAACTTCAACAAAATTCTGAAATCGAAAGGTACATAAAATAGGAGTTTATTGAGCTTTTTTTTGTTTTTGTGTTTCTGCAAATATTTGCGGATAACACTGCGGAGTAGTTAAAATTCATCATCTAAACTTAAAATTATTTTAGGTCAACTCCTTGCTCGTTTAAGTAATTCAAATTCTTTCTTTAATGGCCAAAATTCTGTTGATGATGCTGGTGCTGGGACTCCTCGAAACGGTTATCCCTTATCACCTGGTCAAGTGGATGATCTGACCAGAGAAAGGAATTCTTTACGTGAAGATTGTGCAACATTGGAAAGTAATTATGCTGATTTGTTTAAACGTTATGAAAAAATGCGAGAAAATTGTGTTCTTCTAAAAAATGTAAAAAAAAGTTTTTTTTATAAAATTTAAAAAGAAATTTTAGAGTGAAGAGGAATTAAAAAATGCTCAAGTTGAGGAAGCTACAAAATATGAAAATCTTTTGGGTAAATATAAAGAATTGAGAGATACTGCTGATTTTCAATTAAATCAGTTAATTTTTATTTAAAAATTTAAAAAAATTTAAATTTTAGAGCAAATCTAGAAATTCAAAGAATTATAAAACAGCACGAAGAAAATACTTTGGGACTTAGATGTCGTTTAAAAATGAATGAGACACAAATACAAACGTTGAATTTGACAATACAAGGGAAGGTTAGAAAAAAATTTTTAATTACAAAAGTTCTACTTAGGGACCTTAGAAATTTTGGGGATTTTCAAATCTGAGAACTAACCTCAAAAGTAGCTTCGAGTCCCTAGTTTTATTAAAATCCAGGAAATTCGTTTATTTTTGGGAGAGTGCTAATCGATTACAAGAGCCAGGATTTTTAGGCACGATAAAGTTAAAAATAGGTGCCTATATAGGCACTAAAAACTGCCAAAATAAGCACTAAAATCCGGAAAAAATGCAAAATAGGCAGGATTTTTTTCGAGATTTTCTTCTTTAAATTGAATAAATTTTATCAAAACAGATAAATTTAACAATAAGCAATAAACAGTTAAATAAATTAATTTTGACGATCAGAATTACATATAAATTAATTTATATTAACGTTTCGGTATCAGGCCTATCTAGGAAAAAAACAAGCATTTGCCTAAAAATCCTGACTCTAGTGATTACATAAGTATCAAAAACATCATTTTGGATTCCTTTACTCACCGTCAGCAAAAAAGTTTAATTTTCGTCAGTGTCGAGGACAATCATACATACTTCCCCACGATATTTCTTGACAAAGAGACCCTATCACTAATTTTTTAAATACAGTTTTGTCACTTAGAAACTAAAAATATATAATTCTTAGGATAAACAAATTGATGAATTAAATAAAATGGTTGAGGAGCTTATGGAAAAGAATGGAATTGCTGGGGATGGGGATGACCCTGAAGATGGGGAAAGTATGATTTTTACTCCTGGTTATGAATAAAAAGAAAATATTTTTGTTAAACATATAAATGATATACATATTCTTTTTATATTTGTATTTAAAAGACTGAATATTTTATTGCTTTTATGAGGTTTAAAAATTGAATTTTCTTTTAAATTTATTTAAAACATAGAAATATGGCTAAATTATTTAAGAAAAAAATATCTATTGTTTAATAAAACCAGACCATTTTTTAAGTAAAAAAACTCGAATCTGACCACCACCGCTTTTTATTTTTCATATATCAAAAGAATTTAGTTAATTTTCTGCTAATTTTTCGCAACATATATTTTCATTTCGGTCACTAAGGTTTCAGTTCGGTCATTTTTATTTAATAATATTCTTTTTCATTTTTAAACAAAATTTTGTCACAGATGTATCGGAAAAGAGGTGGTTCATTAGAACAAGAATTAGTAATGTCATCACCAATATCAACAGGGACATCAGCAGACCCTTACCCTTTTTCTAATGGACATAATCAATTAAAGTTTCCGAGCGAAGGATGTATTACTCGAGTGCCATTCTCTTCTCTTTGTGCATTTCTCTTTTGTCTTGGTGGAATTTTACTTTTTAAAGCAATGATAATGTGGGCTTTTAATGCAACTATAGAACAAGTTAGGCGATCACTTGGAATAACACAATTACCTTGGTTGGATAAGGTTTTTTTGAATAATATTTATAAATTAATTCATTTTTTAGTTTCAACTTTTATTAATAATAGCTTGTATTGCTATGTTTGTAATTTCTGCTGCTTTTTTACTTATCGGTATATTAAGTACTGGACAGACAAGAGAACATGTTTTTCGTCAAATGCCTCGTTCTAGAAGAGGTGGCCGTATTTCTTGTATTTTAGCTATTTGTTTGGCTTCTTTACTTAATTTACTTTGGATAATTATTTTGGTATTTTTTTAAATTAATTTTTTTATTATTTTAAATTTGAAGGCACTTACTGCTATTATGTGCTTTATTTATTCAATTTTTTCTATTCTTTGCACAAATATTGGAGGAAATACATCAACAACAAAATCATGCTTAGATTTTAATTCCTTTAAGCCTTTATTTTTTTCTTCAGATGACAATAGGGTTTGCTTATTTATTTTAATTAAAAAAATAAAACTTTTTAGTCTTTACAATTTTGCGAAGGCCAACTTCAACAATTTTGTGCTTTAACTAATACAGTTGTTATTTGGTATTTTGTTGGACTTTTTGGAGCTTTAATTATTTGTTTTGGATTATTACAATTTATTGCTTCTAATTCTGCCAAGTAATTTTTTAGATTTTATTTTATAAATTATTAAAAGTTATGCACATATTGGGAATGAGGCACGTTATGATGAACTTTTGGCTATTTTAAATTCTGAAATGGCCTGTGAAAATTATCATTGTAGAAAACCACATAAATTTCCACCACAGGAAAACGGCAGATCTCGACCTTCTTATAATACTGCTGATTATTATTCGAGAAAATTTGATTATAATTTACAACAATTTCCACAAGGTAAATACTTTATTAATTCTAAAAAATTTCTTTTTAAGAAAACTATCGAAATGATGTTAATTATTCAACTGCTCCGCCTGTAAAGCCCCGTTTAAAACCAAGACAACATAATCAAAATATTGGTCATTCTACTAAACGTCATTCATATCAAAGTTCTTTAAACGGAAGTAATAATTGGTTAAATCGATCAAATGACCAAAAATGGAAGGAAGAATTGTATTAATTTAAATTAATTTTTGTATATTTGTAAATTAATTTCTTAAAACAATTCTCATATCACTTATAGATTTAATTTATAGGCTAAACTGGTTGAATAAATAATGTTTTAAAAATTGAAAAAACAAATTAATTTTAATTAAAAGTTTAGCCTATTTTATTATTATTTATTGCTGCCATATTTATTCTCTTTTTTGCAATAATTCCCATATTTTTGATTTTTTAAAAAATTCTTTCTGCTTTACTTTAATTGTACTTAAATGTTTTAAAAAATTATTTTAATTAGTTTTAATTATTTTTTATTGATTGTAAATCGAAAATATATTTTTATTAATTCAATTTTTTATTTTCATTTTAAGATTTAAAATGTCTTCTACAAATTTATTAAAAAAGGGAATGAATTTAAAAAGTAAATTTAAATAAATCTTAATTTTATATTTTAATTATTTTTAGAAAGCAGACCAAAAAGCAAAGCTGAGAAACTTGCTGAACGCCAACAATGGATGTTGTCTTTTAATCACAACGATTTTGACAATCGCCAAGTCCAAAACGATGAAGATGATGAAATTGGTGTTAAAGGAGTTAATAAAAAATTAAAAAGAAAAACTGCCAAAGCGGAGATGGAGGAACTTTTTAAAGATCTTGATGGTGAAGAGTTAGATGATGAAGAAGAGTTGGCAGATTTTTGTGATCAAAACAATGAAGATGTTGCTGATATTGAAGGAGACGACAATTTGTCAGTTCAAAGTTCTGATTATGATATTAACCAAGATGGACATTCTTCTAAAAATTTAGGTATTTAACTTAAAAAATTTTATTTAAAATTAGAATATTTTTAGTCGAATTAATTTATTTTGTTTATATTTTTGTGTTTTAGAGTCACTTTGTGACAATGAGAATGAAAGGCTTGCTAGTGATGATGATGTACCGCCTGAGGAATTTTCATCAAATCTTCATGAAAATACAAATGTTGATGAACAAATTTCAAAAAAGAAGGTTCAAAATGTTTGAATACACCTATTTATTAACTTAAATATTAATTTTAGGAAAATCCTCAGCGAAAGAAAGCCTCGAAAAAGAAAAGGGATGCAATTAAACAAAAGAAACTGATGGAGACGGACAATGGAGTTTATCGAGTTCAGAAGGGGTAAAATTATAATTTTAATAATTAATTAAAGTTCACAAAGATTTTGGAACTTCATCTTTTAAATTCTGTTTGCCCTATTTTTTTTAATTTTTAATGACTAGATATTATTTTGTGGTAATTAGAGCCAAGCTTTGAATTTAGTTTTTTCATATTTGCTTAAAAATTCCTTCTATTTAGTCGAATAGGTTTACATATCTCATTGAAGGCTTTCCATCTCACTTATTGTTAGTAAAAAAATCAAGTAAGTATAAAATTTTTTGTATATTTTAGCGTTACTCAATTCGAAATTGTATCTTTGGACAAAAGAAATGCAACCAACACAGACAGTGAATCTGAAACTGATGAGGAAGATGAAGGGTCTTTAATGTGTTCACCTTCTTTTATTCCTCTTGATGACAATAAAAAAATTAACAAAAATAAAAAAGTTATGGCACCTCCAAATATTGGATTTAGAGAACAATTATTGAGAATATCTACAGCAAATAAAAGGAAAAAACGGCGTTAAAGTTTGAGATAGAATTTGAATGAAATGTTAATAATTTTTTGGTTAAATAAATTTTATTAAAAAATATTTTTTAAATATATTTATTGTTATTTTTATTAACCATTTATTTTTTTATTTTTTAAATTACATTAAATTCACATATTTTAAGTTCTCAAATATATTTATTTTTAAATTATGGAATTGTTGGCATCACTTAGCGTATCTTCAGATGCACCAGAAGGTGCGGAGCATCCACGCTTAGCTGGTTACAAAAATTTAGGAAAATTTGAGGAAAATCAGAGACAACGACGTTCTGATGACATGCAAAAACGAAACCAGTAAGTATTAAATACTATAAATAGTAAAATAAATTTAATTTGGATTTCTTGTTGGAATTTTAAATTTGTTTGTAATCGACCTTAACAACTTTATTTTTAGGAGTCGTGATGATTGGCTTATGCGTGGAAGGTATATTGTAGAAGATGAAAATATGGAGGAATTAAATCCGGAACAAGTTAATCCGTTTGCTCCACGTCCACGCCGCAAATGTCATTTTAAGGACATGCTTATGTTTAGTGATTGGCTTGTTGATATTCCTGGTTTTATTTTTAAAAATATTTTTTATAAAAAATTATTTGTTTAGAAACAATGTCAAGTGAATGGACTCTTATGGCTGCTCCTGTTGGGCGCCGTTGTTTGGTTGTTGGACATAGAAACAAAACTAATATTTTTTATAAAAATGGTATTTTTTAAACAATTCAATTATTAAAAAATTTTTAAAGGATATCTTTCTCTTCAATTTGAAAGTACTTTGCCTGGTGGAGGGCCTATTCATCCTGAATGTTTTGTTTTTTTATTTAATTTTTTAAATTTTATTTTTAAGCTCTAACGATTTTGGATTGTATTTGTGAAAGTAAAAGAGTTACTAAAAATTCAAAATTTTATGTTCTCGATTGTAAGTTTTTTTTTTGAAAATTTTTTAAATATTTTTTAGTATTATGGTGGAATAACAAAATGTACACAGACTCAGATTTTACTGTGCGGCAATTTTTTATGCGTTCTAAAATTGAGGAATTAAATATTGAAAATAAAAATGCTAATAAAGCCAATCAATTTATTCCATTACCAACTTGCCCATGCTTGCCTGAGGCAATGGCCGAATTTATGAAAACTGAATTTCCTTATGAACTGGACGGATTACTCTTTTATTTTAATTCGGTTTTTAAATTTAAAAATTATTTTAAATTTTATTTTAGGGGTTCTATATTTCCGAACAAACACCTTTAGTTGGTTGGCTTAAACCTTGGATGTTACCAGGTATTTTTTTAAATGTCCAAAATTAAATTCATTTTCTAAAAAACCGTTATTCTCCAGAGTTGGGGTTTCTGTAAAATTTTTAATAATTCTGATACTTTCTACAGTTTTTATTAAATTAAGAGATTCTTGGGGTTCCAATTCCTGAATATCTTCAACGAAATCAACATTCTCAAGTATGTTTTAATTTTTATTTTAAAAAATAATTTTTAATTAAGGATTTTATTCAAGATTACAACAGAGCTTTTGGTCATTTAACTTCAACACAAATAAAAGAAGAAAAGGAAAGGAAAAGGCAAGAAGATGAGAAGAAAAGACAAAAAAAGGCTGAAGAAAAGAAAAAACAAAAGGAGGAAAAGAAGAAAAAATGGGAGGAAAATAAAAATAATTCTGATAAAATATTAGAAGAAAATATGGATTTGGAGGAAGATAATAATGAAATTAAAATGGCTGAAAATGCTAAAATTGATAATGATGACATTTAAAAAGTGCAATTTTATAAATATCAGAGAAGCTATTGAACGTATACTGTTTTTAGTATATATTTTAGTGTGTGATTATGTTTAGAACTGCTGATAAATTATTTTACTTAGGATTATCAGCTACAAAAATGTTAACAATTCATTTCGTCTGATTTATTTTAAAGAGTTTAAAAGATAATCAGTTTTTCTAAACATATCCACACTGTTGTTTGATAATAATAAAATGACCAGATTAAATTTTTATTAGCTCAATATTTTAAATTTAAAATATCTGAAATAATACATAGTATTTTCAAATACTAACTTTGATCGGCTATAACTTTTTATGATTGATCCAATACGATTATTATCCTATAAGTATCCTAAATCATACGAAAGCCCTCGATAAGCGGTATTTCTAACTTGATGGAACAGATCTGATCACTCGTTAAAAAGTTTGTGTCGATATTATGTTATCTTAATATCCTGGAACCTACTGCTATTCGTTAGCACTTAATTGGTTAGTACTTAATTATTATTTAATTATTAGTAATCATCAATTAATTATTAATAATGCTTAATAATTAGTACTTAATTACAATATTGGTGTAATTAAGTACGATATATTATATAGGTATGTGTATATTACCTTCTTCAGTCGATCAATAACATTAACATTGTTTAATAACATTCCAATGTCCTTTATCAAATTCTCGATCTTTTATTTACAACCTTCAAAAAGCAATTTACTCCGATTATTAAATATATATAATCACCGCCGCAATCTAACAGAGAAATGATTCGCATTATGTATGTACATTCCTACCTATACAAAAAAATTTGTTTAACAATCTACATACCTATTCATGCATTCAAAAATGTTTCTTAAATTATTACAGTATTTTAAATCGTCCATATTAATTCTCTACTGTAATAATTAACCCTACAAAATTTTTTATGTAAATACATATTTAACATACTAAATATGTAGACAAACGAAAGCAAAGAGGCCCCGCACGTATTAACTATCAATTTTGTTTATTCTCCATCTAGATGTTTTTATCTAATCATTTTTGCACAATCGTCTCCTCATATAGAGAAATAATTGATAAAAAGACCAACGCAACCGAACAATTTCTTATGATTTAGTAAAACTATCTGAAATTTCAAATCATAAACTTCTGAAACCTGAATGAACGTATGTTTCATTAATTTCACTACTCGTTTCCCATTAAGAATAACTTCAACTTATTGTTAAGCAAGATCGGTTAAGGTCAACTATATAATTAATTACAAGGAAGAAAAAAAGTGGTGAAAAAAAATGAGCCGCACCAGTTGTCTATGCTGGATCGACTGTCACGGACGTGGCAAACAAAGTTCTCTTTTAGTTTGGTAACATAGAAAGATTAAATGTGGAAAGAGTTATTGGTAAAGATACATACAAATTCGGCTCCTATACAACTCATCTAATCGTTAACTCATCTACTCGTTAACTCATCTACACGGCCAAAAAGGGTTAACTCATCTAATCGTTAACTCATCTAATCCTTAACTCATCTACACGGCCAAAAAGTGTCAACTCATCCAATCCTTCGGAACGAGACTATTGAGTACCGGCCGTTTGAGTCCATGGCCAGTAGAGTACCGCCGGTTGAGACTCAACTGGTCATGGACTCAACTGGCCATGGAATCAACTGGTCATGGACTCAACTGGCCATGGACTCAACTGGCCATGGACTCAACTGGTCATGGACTCAACTGGCCATGGAATCAACTGGTCATGGACTCAACTTACCAGAGACTCAGACGGCCAGAGACTCAGACGGCCAGAGACTCAGACGGCCAGAGACTCAAACGGCCAGAGACTCAGACGGCCAGAGACTCAGACGGCCAGAGACTCAGACGGCCAAAGACTCAAACGGCCGGTACTCAATAGTCTCGTTCCGAAGGATTGGATGAGTTGACCCTTTTTGGCCGTGTAGATGAGTTAAGGATTAGATGAGTTAACGATTAGATGAGTTAACCCTTTTTGGCCGTGTAGATGAGTTAACGAGTAGATGAGTTAACGATTAGATGAGTTTACCCTTTTTGGCCGTGTAGATGAGTTAAGGAATTTTAGCCGTTTAGATGAGTTGAACGTTTTTGGCCGTGTAGATGAGTTAACGAGTAGATGAGTTAACCGGACACGACAAATTCTTTTTGAACACTGACAGACGGTCTCTCTCAACAATAAGATCAATTCCTCTCTAATTCGTTTGTGAAAGGGAGAGATTGCGAATTAATATCTAGAGTATTGAAGAATGAAAGGAAAGTTTTGCTCTCATTGAGCGGAAGTATTTTGGGAGTTTTATGTATAATATTTTGGGTTTTCATCTCTACATATTTCTCTTCGCTGAAATTTGGTCAATGCTACGGACACTAGTATACCCTTCCTATCTACCCCCCCCCCCCCATTTTTCCTTCTAAACAGTTCGTTTAGTATAAAGGGCAAACCTCGACGACCACTTCCTCCTCTAATATCTATTCTTTTCCTTTCAATGTTTTAGTCAATCACCATAGCATTAGTGGTCCGTCCATCACCAAGTGGTATCGAACTACGTATTATCATTGTATTCGAATGGAATTAGCGAACGAGAGGATGAAAAAGAAGGAAATTGGAAGAGGAAAGGAAGGCAAAAGGACTGTCTTTTTCACTATATAACCCCCTTTACGAAAATACATACTACATTCCAATGCATCAGCAATGTCCCCCAACTCATAGGCAAAAATCGGGGGGTCTTCCTCCCCAATTCAATCTCGTCTTTTTCCTCCTACCCCTCCTCGTCCACGACTTCCATCTCCTTCATATATACACCTATCGCCCCCATTCACCTTCACCAACACACACACAGTTCTTCCCCCTCCTCCTACCCGTCGCTTTCCACACATCCAAACGAATCCCTTTCCTCCCATATCAGTCAAGTCATTCATTCCTTGCTTACTTGCCTCATTTGCTCTCTAAAGGAATGAACGGTCTAAATTTGTCTATAATAAAGGTAATATTTTTGTTTTAAATAATTTTTAAATAATTATTTCACAAAATTAAATGCAAATTTTGGTTTATTTTTATTTAAAAAATTTATTTAAATGCTTAGTTTCAAAAGAAAAAATTACCAAAAATTTTGTGGCAGGAGGACGGGGTCTGGCTTGGTTCTCATCTAGTATAATACTTAGAAAACTGATGAGATCATACCAGATCACATTCGCTTGTTATTCAAAATAATACTTCTAAACAACAAAATTGCTTGTAGTTAAGTTTTTATTTTATTAAAAATTATTTTCCTAATTTTAGAGAAACACAAAAAAAATTATTTGAGAAATATTTCTAAAAAATTGAAAAAATTTTTGGTAATAGTGTCGTTTCCCAGCCCCCTTTTTTTCCTCCCAATTTTCTACCCTATGTTTGTACGGAATGGTAAAATTTTCCCCTTTCTTTCATCAAATTTGCCTTTCCATATTTTGCCTAAAAACAATCAAAAAGATTTAAAAAAACTTAAAAAAAAAGAACCTTGTCTTGCTCTACAATTTTTGGTTGTACACCGCCAACATCCATATCTTTCGTCTTTCTTAACACTTATTGTTGTTCGACCCCCAAATTTGTAGCAAGTTCTCTTTCCATGAAGAAGTCCAAGCTTCTCAAGCCATGCATCGAAATCATTATCACTCAAACGTAATTTTTCATATAAATCAATAGGTTTGAAATTCTTTAGTTCTTCCATTTTTATTAATTGGGAAAATGATTCTTCTCATTACTCTAATACTTACTTATTTAAATATCACAAATTAATCTTTTTGATTGTTTTTAGGCAAAATATGGAAAGGCAAATTTGATGAAAGAAAGGGGAAAATTTGACCATTCCGTACAAACATAGGGTAGAAAATTGGGAGGAAAAAAAGGGGGCTGGGAAACGACACTATTACCAAATTTTTTAATTTATTTAAAGCATTCTTTTTCTTAATTTATTTGGATTTTGTGTTGGAATTGTTTTTGGTATTTTTCCAGTTGGACATCCTCCCCTCTTCTGTTGTTGTTGTCGTCTTTGATGTTTAGCATTAAGTTTTGGGCTATTATTGCCTGCAGCTGATGAACTAGTCGATAATGTTACTTTTTCCTAAAAAATTTAAAATAATTTTTAAACCAAAAAATATGTATTTAGAAAGATTAATTATTAATGATAACAAAAAAAGTTATGGTTTCTCGTTACTCTTGCCTCATAAGTTTTGGGCTATTATCTTTTTTTGGGCTATATGCAAATCTAACATTATATGCTCGAATAATTGCCCCCTCTCAAATAATTACTCCGTCTAGCGAGAGGTTGAAATAATAATTACCCAGGGTACTTATTCGAGCATATACGGCACATTGTCTAAATGCAAATCTAACAACCTCCGATAATATTTTGGGTTGGGTAGTTAAAGTAAATAAGTTCTTTAAAAATTCCAAAAAACAATTATTTACAATACCTGATCAGTTTTCACACTAAGTAAATCCTCTTCATCCACAATTCCATTATTATCTCTCTCCTCCTCTTCCTCCAAAATAATTTTTCTTTTCAAAGGTTTTTTTATTTCATTATTAAATTCTTCCATTAAAATTTCATTTCCCCCCTCATTTGTTGTTCTAGTAAATAAACCTCCACCAAAATCTTCTTCTTCCCCAATTATTATATCTTCATCAAATTCTGATTCATCACTTCCAAAATCTTCTCGAACTAATTTTTTAAAATAATTATTTATTTTCTTGTATTTTAATTAACCAATTATTCCAATTTTTTGTCCCAACCATCTAGCTTTTTGAACTACATCATCTTGCATTAATTTAAAACACATTGCAATTAATGCCATACCAAAAAGTAAATAAAGAGCACAAACCTTTATTTTTGAAAGTTTTTTTAATTATTTTATTTGGTGATAAATAGGGTTGCCGGCCCGGTCCGAAAGAAATTTTGGCCCAAAAAAGACTCGGTCGGGCCGGCCCGATAAAAACGAAGCCCGAGAAAAAGATGACTCGAACGTCTGCCCGACTCGAAAACGGCAACCTTAGTGTTAGATTTAATTTACAATTAATTTTTCTTGGGAGCCTTCATCCAATGACTGTCCAGGCACTATATCTCCAAATCCAATTGTGCTTAGGGTTATAAACTTAAATAAATTATTTAAATAAATATTTTATTTTAAATATTTTTACAGAATAATAAGCTCCATCGAAAAAATTCCAATCCTCCCAAATTGAAAAAAGAACAGCTCCCCCAGCAATAAATAAAATTACAGTAATTATTCCAACAGAAACGGGCATCTTTTCTCTGTGAATTCCACCACCACCCATACTTGGATTGCTTGGAATGGTCCCTCCTTGCCCGATACCGATACGTCTTGAACGGAGTGATTCTGAATCACTTCGAAGTGATCTAATTTCGAGTCTGAAAAAGGAATAAATATTTATTAAAAATTAATGAAGAACGAGGACTCGCCTGTGGGCGAGTCTTCGTTCTTCATTAATTTTTAATATTTAACACCTTTTATTTGAAGACCCCCCACCTTCACTTTGCTCTTTTTGACTTAAACTTCTAACAATAGAAAGTTCTGTTATTGTTGTTGAATCTGGTCTATTTTGTTGTTGTTTATTAATTATTTTTATTTTGTTATTATTTTCAATTAAATTATTTAAATATTCTTCCCCTTCCCCTTCACCTTCCTCCTCTTCCAATTCCTTTAAATTTAAAGGATATTTCTTTTTTAATTCCTCTTTTTCATCTTCATCATTTTGTAGTTCTTCTTCATCGTTTGATTGTATTGCTGATAACTATTTTTATTTAAATTAAAGGTTAATTCTGCAATATTTAAAATATAATTACTTTATTTTGTTTAAATTCTCCATTATTATTTACATTATTAATAACCCTAATTTTAGGTAATTGTTGTTGTCTATTAGTTGGGAAAGGGGTTGAAGGTTTGTTAACATTTTCTTCATTTTCTCCATTTTTTAAACGTTTATTTCGAATTAAAGAACCAACATTTGCTGGAGTACTTAAAAATAAATTAGTTATTAATGAATATATGTCCAATCAAAATCAAAAGAAATTGAGAGAAAATATTTGGAACAAGTAAGCTAAATTATTTAAAAATTATTTTACTTATTCTGTTCAGAACCTAAACCATGTCTGTTTTAATTAAAAATTAGTATGTATAGACTGTTTCACAGACCAATAAATTTAATTTTCTTTTTTTTTTAATTTTTACCTAAATTTTTTATTTGGTTTCCCAATTCTGAGTGATTGATTCCTTAAAAGAGGAACTTGTTGTAATGAACGTGAAGGTTTTATTGAAGATTCTCTGTCATTAACTAAAAGTTCTTCGGATTCTTCAAATTCTTCTTCTTCTTCTGTTATTCCTTGTTTAGAAGGTTGGGGAGATAAACGGTGTTGTTGTTGAGATAAAATACCCAAAATTTAATTTTTAATTATATCTTTTATTCATTCCCTTCCCCTCACATTACCTCCTGCTCCTCCTCGACTACTTCCACCTTTTTGACGACAACATTTTCCTAATCCAAAAGTTGTTGCTGCACTTCTAGGCCCTCCAATTTTTTGTTTTCGTCTTTCGTAAGAACAACTTGATGAACTCATTGAAGATGGCATCTTTACAACAAAAGGGGAGGAAGGGGGTAGAGGAGGTTGTTCCCCAATTAAATAAGGCTGCTCTCCCCCGTTTAAATGAGTTACTGCTATTTGCTTAAATTAAATATTTTAGATATTTAAAAATATTTTCTAACTAACCCTTTTTTGAACACGTCCATGTAAAAAGGTATTCCTTAAATGGATAAATTAAGTTTAATCTCCTCTACTATTTTAATTATTTTTTCTTACTTTTTAAGTAACAATTCCTCTTGCTGTAAGGCTGGTATTCTTCCAAAACTTGACTTTCTAATTCCTCCTTTATCAGTATGAAAAGACTTCCAAGATTTAATACTCTTTGTATCCCCTCCACCTCCTCCTCCACGTCCACCTCTAATGCTTAAACTAGCATTACGGGCCAACATCGAATTAAATCGGCGAGTTGCCGCGCGACCGGAATGAACTTTTGTTTAGATTTTTGAAATTTATTTAATTAATTTTACCTCTCCGAACATTTACGGGGGCATTTGGGTGATATCTAATTGTGAGTGATTGACATTTAACTCTATGTCTTTCTGCTTGCCAACGACAATAGGCACAACAGACTTTAAAATATAAAAAGGTAAAGACTTGTGCTAAACTTTCAGCAATATTTGCTAAACATAAAAGCATTAAAGGAATTCCAAATGTTGCGTAAATAATTGTTAATCCACGTCCCAATGGAGTTTTGGGGCAAATATGTCCGTAACCTGTTTAATTTTGAATTAAAATTTAAAAAATTGAGAACACATATACTTTCTAATAATTAATAAAAACTAAAAATAATTTAGTGTTTGAAATGTTATAAAGTTTATATAAGCTACATATCTGTGTTTATATCTTAAATGGATAGTTAATCTTTCAAACCCAATTAACAAAGAGTTGTTATTCAATTAATAAAATTATATTTCTTTATAAATTTTACCAATAGTTGTAAATACAGTAATGGAATAAAGTAAAGCACCAGAAAACTAAAAAATAATAATTTTTAAAAATATTTATTAAATTACCGTCCATTGAAATTTTAATTTATTTTCATTATCCAAATTCTTTTCATCATAACCCTCATAATTTACTGCAAATACAAGTTTTTGTTCATATTCTTTATAAAGTTTATGTGCTTCTCTTTTTAAATCATCCTCTCTAATTACTTCACTTTTTTCAATATATTCATAAAGACGATGTACTAACTGTTATTTAAATTTAATTTAAAAATATCTAAATTTATTTACTTCCCAAGTATCATTTGCAATATGTCCTTGAAATTTTTGTTCTTCTTGATATTCAATTGCTCGAAACATAAATGCACCTTTTTAATCTCTTTAAATATATCATTAACAAATAACTACCTAATACAGCATAAACAGCTACAAGAAAACATAATCCAACATGCGAAATTACAAAAATAACAAGCTAAAAGTATTTAAATTAATTATTTTAAAGATTGTCTCATTACCTTTTTGCTAACTAATGAAGTATGAATACAACAACTTCTGACACTTCCAAGAATTGACATCCAAAATTTTATTAAGAAACCAAGAAGTTTTTAAAGGAAAATGTTATTCTTTTTGTTCTCTATAAAAATCCAAGCTTTTTCACTTAAAGTAAAATATATGTAAACATTTTAAGACAACAAAAATGGCTTAAACCGGATGAAAAAGAACACGGACTTCCTGAATTTTTCTTTTCTAGTAAAAACTAAAAAGGAAGAGAATAACAATGTTGATTGATGACAATAACACAAATAAAAATTTCAAAACTCTCTAGGGATTGAGGAAAACTCTGACTACATACTTGCTTTGATTGTGAAAAAAAATATTTTTTGTAGGGAATTTTCTTTAAAAAATATTCCAATTTAATTTTTATATACTAACAAATAAAAAATAATAATAACGAGTATTTTAAAAATAAAAAATAATTTAAGAGGGGAGATCAATAAAATAATGTTAGCAAAAATATGTAGGTAGGTCAAAAATTTAGTAAAAATAAGGCAATTTAAAACCCCCAAATCCTCGTCCAAATTTCATTCATTATTTTCACTTTCAACTTCTTTTTGTTCAAGAATAGGTATTTGTTTTGAATGAATTTGAAAGCGTCTAAACATTTTCTCTAAATCCTCCAAATCATTTCGTACTTTTTCTCTCATGTAAAATATTGGGCAATCCCGGCTAGCACAAAAAACCTCGTCTTGTAAAAGACCCGCACAATTTTGACATTCTGTCCATAATCTACTAAATCGATGTTCGGCAGAACGAATAGCAACAATCTTTTTAAAAAGAAGAGAAAATTATTTTTAAAAAATTAATTACAAACAAACTTTCTCTAAATAAATTTCTCTCATCTTTCCAACACAATTTGAACACGTTGCTGGTGCTTGTTCTTCTTTAAAATTCATTGGTGCTTTACATCCTAAACATGTTGCTTTCTTTACCAAATATCCAGCCATTAAACCACTTTTTAATTTAACCATTGTTTTTTTCTTTGTGTGATCTCCACCTTTAAAATTAAGAAAAAATAATTAAAATAAATATAAAATTAAAAACTAGTAAAAATTTGTTCTGCTCGATTATCCAAAAGTGGATCAAAAATACGTGCCATAGGCTTTACAAGTTGATGCTCCAAATAATAGGTCGTATCAATTGGAATGTTATTTTTAAGAACCTTTAATTTTTATAAATTTTATTTTTTCCCCTCAATTTCTTGCTATTTTCTTACCCATATTGGATCTTCTGCTTTCTCATATGCTGGAACATTTGCTCCTTTATTAATAATTACATAAGGAACACGATCACCAAGACGAGGTGCTGACCCGGGATCGCGTTTACGCATTCGTTCAGCTAGTTCCACATGTGCTTGTTTTGCTGCATATTTCTTGAATTAAAAAAAATAAATTTAAACATTTTTCAGATTTTCTACCTCGCCTTTTTTAGTCAATTCTTTAGTTATTGTAAGCATAGAAATATCTATACGGTCATTTAACAAATCAGAAATAACACCCTTTGCATATCTAATTGCTCCATCTTTATCTCGTTCAATTAACAATTTTTCTAAACAAGAATTTAATACACAAGCAACTAAAGGGCAATTATCTCTCCGAACAGTTTCTAACTTTAAAAACAATTTTTAAATTAATTTTTAATCAATTAAATAGCCTACCCCTTTACAATCCATTTTATCATGTTTTTCCTCTTTAGTCCAGAATAATCCAGCATAACGTTTTTTATTTATCAACAAATAAGGGAAATAAACTTTTTCAAATTCCAATTTAATTGGTTTCAGAAATCTTTTACTAATTTCTTGTGCAGCATGTTTCCCTAAAGTCATTGCCTCTCCAATTGTTTTAACACCAAATTTAACCATTACAGAATCTGTATCTCCATAAATAACTTTTGCATCAATAGGGCAAAGACCATCAACCGCCCCAGTTTTGTAATAACCTTGAAAAATATAACTTTTTTTAAAATTAAAAGTTAAAAAAGTTACTTTCAACTTCTTTCTTTGTTAATTCAATCATTTGTCGTCCAAATGCTGTAACAGATTGAGCAACTTCAGAACATGGTAATTTTCCTTTAGAAGCACCAGTAAATCCATAAACAGAATTAGCACTTATTTTTAATGCTAATTGTCGTCCATCTAATACCATTTTTCTAAATTAATAATTATTTTATTAAATTTCTTTTAAACTTACTTTAAAGGGTCAGTTTCCTTTTTCAGAGCCTCTTTTGCCTTTTTTCTAGCTGCCAATAATTCTTCAAGTACTTGAGGTAATAATCCTTTACGATGCTTTGCTGAAACAAAAAGATCCCCAGAAGGAGTTTTTATATAGTCAACACCCTCTACCATTCTTTAAAAATAAATTTTTAACAAATATCAAAAAATATACTAACTCATTTTCAGGTGGAGCAGTTTTCATTAAAGTTGTATAACAAAGATTGTGAGCAATCATAATTGACGGATACAGCGAAGCAAAGTCTAAAGTAGAGATAGGCTCGTTGTAAAAATCACAGACTGGTTCAATAACAGTAGCACCTTCATATCCAATTTCATCTCCGCCATCCCCCACATCAATTACTGGAAGGAAAATGTTTTTTTCTCGAGTCTTTGAAAATAATTAATTATTTAAATTGTTTAACTGTTAAAACCTTTCGAATTAACATGGAAAGAATTTTAACTTGTTGTCCTCTTGAAATAAGGAAACTTAAAGGAACACCAGTAACACGAGCCATTTCCATATAATTAATAAAAAGCATAAGTTTATCCAACAAACGGATAGGCAAATAAGCATCTTTCATACAATAAACGGCTAAACGTCTTCTATCCTTCGCAGTTCCTGCCTTTAAAAGATAATAATTTTAGATGTTTAAGGGAAGGAAACCTGAAGTTCGGGTATAAAATTATAAGCAACATCCTCCTTCTGCTCTCCAAGAAAGAAATAACTAACATTATTTAATGTATAACTACGAAGTTTATAGTCACGTAATATCAACTAAAAAATACCTAGATATTTAATACTATATTAAAAACCAACTTGTAACACATCAAATATAATACGTCCATCCATTGAACACATTTTATTTACTCGATTACCCATTTGTTTTGATTGAAGACTGACATCCCTTTGTTTGCAAATATTACCTTTAACACGACTTAAGTAACAAACACGTCCATCAATCTTAATTAAAAAATTGGAAAAAAGTCATTAAAAAGTTAAAACCTTCAAATGTTTTGCTCGATCCATTATATAAGGCAAATCAAAATTTTGAATATTATACCCAGTAATTACATCTGGGTCAACAGTTCTAACAAAATCTGACCATTTAGAGAGTAGCTCCACTTCATTACGACATTCAATTACTTCAGACCCAACAATCGATTCACAAGTTCCCAATACAAAACAATTACGAATAAAAGGCTCTGACTCCCCTTCCAACTTAACCATATTTGCAATTTGAATAATTGGATCTCGGGAAGCATCTGGGAAAGTCCCTAAAAATATAAAATATTAAAATTAATTTAAAAATAGGGCAATCCACCTTGTTGTCCCAAACATTCAATATCCAAACTCAATGTTCGTAATGGTGCAACACCTGACCATTCATGTGAACTTGCATCGTGAGCTAATAAGAAATCAACAGAAATCATTAACTTAATAAAATAATTAATGACTAAATTCGAATTAAAAACTTCGAATTGTGAACAAGTTGTTTGTTTGTTCTCTGGGACAATATCGTATTTACCAGAAGGGCATTCAATCCAACCGCAACCAACAATCCCTAAGTCAGCCATAAAACAAACCTAAAAAGTAATAATAAATTATTTAGTAAATCTCCAACTTCATAATCCAAATTAGATTCAAATGCATGACAACTTTCTGTTCTTTTTAAATCAACTGATTCTGAGGCAAGCATTTTGTCAATAAGATATAAGGCACCTCGGCCTGAAACATAAAAGATATGTAAAAGCTGTCTTTAAACATACATGCAGTAAAAAGTCGATGAGAACTGATAAATATTTTTAAAAAATTTCTTTTAGTATTTGTGTTGCTGTAATAATATAGGCTCGATCCTTGTACAATTTCAATTCCAGTCACCGTCCCCAAACCCCCCTTAATTTTATTGAATTTTAACAAGTTTTAATCAGAACCTTGATATGCGAATTTAAAAGCTCAATTGTTTTCTGTATATGTTGTGCACCAAATGAAGGTGGAACGGATGCAAAGAAATAAGGTCGATATCCAAAAACACAAACAGCTACTGAGTTTCCCTTATCTGTTACACCAAACAAACGCATCACGACAGCATTTGATTCTAAAAATAAAACGGTGTTTAGATTATATTTATGCAAACCTATAAATGAATCAATATCCATAAGTTGAAACAGCACAGGCTTATCGTTTCGACCATCCTTTATCAAACTATTAACTTCAGGGCGTTCCCAGTATGTACGAGCTACAAAACGTTATTTTCAATTTAAATTTAAGACGAACCTCCGTTAACTGTCCCATCGCTAAAAACTTAAAAATATTATACAAAATTATAATAACTTGTTTACCTGCTCGGCCCTGCATTATCATTCCCACCATTTACAGCTCCTCCAAGTGCTGCCAATTTATTCACAAATCCATTTTTGTCATCCTCTGGCCTAAAAAATTAAATGACAAAATAATTAAACAAAAACAGACTTTGTACGCTTTGCATAATGAATGGGACGTGGAGCAGACCTTTTCTTTGGAGAAACTTTTTTCTTAGGTGACATAGAGATAAAATACTAGAAATATTTTAACTAAAAGTGAAATTTCTGGATTTATAAAAATTAATTTAACAAAATATTTTGAATTAATACAATTTAGAATATTAGTAGAAATAAACAAAAATTTTTATTTGTTAATCAAAAAAATAAAAAGATTAATGACTAGATGATTATGTATGTACAAAAAAGATTACTTTCATTTGTAAAAATTAAATGAGATCAATACAACAAAGCTCGAATTTTGGCAGCTTCTTTCTCTCTAAAATAAATATAAAAATAAAAAATTATTTAAAATATACTTTTGTTTATGATGTGAATGAGATGACACAGGTTCAGGTCCAAACAATTCATTATAACTACAAAATAACTGTTTTAAAGGTTGATCAATTGTGTCCTTAAAATTAAAGAAAACATATTCTATAATTAAAATAAACAAACAGAGAATTGAGAACTACAAATTCTTTTATTTTCGTGTTTTATATTATTTCCGGTATACGCCTAAAAAGTTAAAAATTAAAACAAAATTAAGTACACAAACAATGCATTTAAGTTGCCAGTCACCAATTTCTTCATTCCAATTAACAAATTGTTCAATATAATTCATTTGATTATCGGGAATAAAACTATTAATAACAAGGTTCGCATAAAGCAATTCCCTCTGTAATTGCCTAATACTTTCAAGGAGAGATTCTGTTTCTCGATGATGTTCCATTTCCTGATCTTGTAGTTCACTCTTTGCTTGCATATATTGAGTCCAAACCTTTAAAAAATATTTTTTTATGATATATACTTCACTAAACCTTTTTCAATTTTTTATTAAGACTTTGGGCTTGTTCTTGTAAACTATTACTTTGCTCTCCGATATCAATTTGTTCAGCCTGTTGGCTACGTAATCTCTCATTGAGAACTTGTTCAGTCTAAAAAATAGGAATTAAAACAATTAAGAGTCCGTACTTGACGAGCATGTTCCAAATCTCTATAAATAAAATTAAATCATAAACGGAATATTTGATAAAAAAAATACCTGTTTCCAGCATCTAACAGTTGCGCTTGCCTCTCTGCCTTTTCAATCATATTTTCACCGCCTACAATTATTTGTCTCTCAATTGCTACTAATTTATGCATTAATTTTTCTCTTTCGCTTTTATTCCGTTTAAGCTCTTCTTCACGACTTAAAAGGTCATCAACCAAACGTTGATGCTCAGAATCTGTATTATTCACCTTAAAATTGATTCACTTTTGTTATTAATATTATTTTACATGTAAATCCAAATCCCCAGTTTCATTCTGTTTGTTTCGCTGTTTTTGCACATCTGCTTCTTCTAAAGACAAATTTTGCTCCTCATCAACATCACTTTCTGCATTGGAACCTGGTTCTTGAAAAATAACCGACAATAAGTGTTAATTATTTAAAAATTTACCGGCTTCTTCTAATCTTTTCTTCAAAAGTTGAATCTCATTTTGGAATCGCCTGAGCAAAGCATCTTTTGGATCTTCGTTAATTCTCGCCATATTTTGTATACGCTAAAATTTAAAAGTTGTGAATATTTTAAGTAAAAAAGGACATTCACCTTTGCTCGACTCGCATATCGCAATGTACTTATTGTCTCTGCATAATTGTATGCTGCAGGCCCAATATTTGCAATCTTTAATTTGCAATATTTTCGTTATATTATTCAAAAGATTACCATGCATGTCTTTGAATTCCCACCAAGAGAATCTTGCAAAATCCTTGTAAGTTTTGAATTTCTAAATTTTAAGTTCATTTAATTATTCCTATTTTTAATTTACCGGTATGGTATGTGAGTGCTTTTTGCATCAGCTAAAGCACTAATTACATTTCCAAGTGTTGACAAAGATAAGTTAATCTTTGTTGCTTCTTTCATTTGTTCTCCAACGACATTAGTTTTTGATTGTCTTTCACTTCCTGCCAAATCTACAAAGCTAAGTTTCCCTTGTGTGAGTAATTGCTTTCCATCAGCAATTATTTCCGAACACTCAATTGTTATTGTAAAAATTGCATGTGAGCGACTCGATTGTTCATTCATACTCGTTTTTCCAGTATGTCATTAAAATCAAAAAAATTTATAAAATAATATTGTCAGTCCTTAATAAACTATTTGCGTTGCCTAACTGCATAATTCGCATGCATTGGTCAGCACTTGAAACTGTGACACTCAATAAATCCTTTACATAAACACCGACATCCGCACGCTCCTTTATCTCTAAATACGACTGTACTGCTCCTGGGACTGTACGAACAAGCAAATCACGCAATTCTTCGTTGTATATTTCCATGTAGGAAATTCTGACAAGAAATCTGCAAAATTAATGAGATTAATCACATGATTTAACTTTCTCTGTTTACCTTTTATCATGTCCACTTTCGGCAATATGATTAAAAATGTGTGCAAATGAATATTGGATAATCCCTTGTTCTCCTATATTTGGATCCCCAGACATCTGAAGTATAAAATTTTCAAGTTAATTTAGATTGGCTACATACAGTGTATGTCTTCCCTGTTCCAGTCTGGCCATATGCAAAAACCGTTCCTAAATTTTAAAAAATCGAAAAATTAACCAATTATTTAAAATAACCATTAAATCCCTCAAGTACATTTTCAACCACTGGACGAGCTATACAATTGTAAACATCAGATTGACACGAATCCGGTCCAAATACTTCATCAAACTGATAACATTTAAGTAAATCGCTTTGACCGTTTGAACTCGCAACGAGAATTGACTTTCCTGTGTAATCAACCTCAACTATTGGTTGAACGAAACCAATTTCTTTTTCCCGTTTGCTGAGTGGACGACAACGAACCGAAACCTATAGACAATTAAGATTATTTTGATCGATAAAAACTTATATTTTACAAACCTTAACATTTTCAACTTCGCCCTTAGAATTTATTAGAGATTCATTCATCTAAATTTAATATACATATATCCAATTTACAGAGATTATTAACAGATATTTAAAATAATTATTTACAATAATTGAAAATAATATATTTAATTTTATATTTATTTTATTATCTAATTACTTGCAAACAAAATTAATGTATAAAGAGATCTTTTAATTCCGTAGCCTTAAAGAGTTTTTTTTATCAAAACAATTAATATTTTTATATTTATCCCAAAAAAGGCTACGGCATAAATATTAACTAGAGAAGTGAATTCATCTAATTATAATTTCTTTAAGTATTGAATTCTTTAAAATAATGAAAGGTGTACATAATTTTAATTGTTTTTAAAAATGAGAAGCAGCTAAAATTGTATTTTTACATTTAAAAAATACGTGGAATGAATTCTAAATTTATAGTAAATAAAATTCTGTAAAACTATTCACGTTTTATTTTTAATGTTTAACCGGGAATTAAATCCAAATATTATTTAATGCTTGCTGTAGCCAATTTTTCGTCAATCGACATTGTAACACTTGTCATTTTTCCAGCTTCTGCAGTTACAGAAACAATCGGATCCATCGATAAAGGGTGTGGATAACTTTCAACAGGAGCAGTATCTCTAGGGAAAGTAACTGGGTGTGATCGCGAAGGTGAAGAAACATTTTTGTTAACAAATTCAAGTAAACGCTTTGCGTACTAAAATTAAAAAAAAGAGATAAAAATCTTTCATTAAAGAAAACTTGTTCAGGCTTAACAGTTGAAGTATTTTCTGCTCCAGAACCATATTTAACCGTTTTTGCTGCAGACTCTGTTCGCTTTTTTACACCATAATAAGTCAAAATGTCAACTAAACCAATAAAGTAGACAAGTTTTCGAGGAGATTCTGAAAATAAAAAAAAATATTTAATATGACTAACAAAAATACCTTCGCTTGACGGAATGCCAAAAAATTCATCATCCAAATTTAACCCTCCCGAATTTGTTGTAAATGCTCCAGCCGAATGTATTGGACTCTCAGGAGGTGAAATTTGTTCACCCCCAGAGTCCAAATCGGACAATTGTTGCTGATGAAGTTCTGCAACAAGTCCAGCCGGACATTCATCATCTACTGGTGATGAGGATGCAACACGTTCTTTTTGCAATTGTTGTTCTAATTCTATATCATGAATGCCAAGCAACAGAGAATAATCCATTAAATGCATTTTTGTTAAAAATTATAATCAGAATTTAAAATATAACAAATATTCAAAATACCTGTATCTGATTTCAAAAGTTTCATCAACTGAGACTTTGCATCCCCTGGTAACATAACTTTGTAATTCTCCTCTAAAAAGTCATTATCCTTAAGAGTCGGTAACTGTTTAGATTTCTCTTTTTCACTAGCTTGACGTTGAACTGTGGAACCCTTTAAGAAAATTTTAAATAAAAAATAAAAGATTAAAAACCTTCAAATCATATTTTTTATGAATATTATATTTTCCCCCAAAAATATTTCTCATAACGAGCATGTAAGTCTCGCCAACATCAACAGTTATTCGATAAAGTCCTAAAATCGGGGAAAGCAATCAAATGTAAAATATTGAACAAAACCAAGATATTGTGGTAATAAAGTCTTTCCATGTTGTTCAACAACATATTCATGGTATTTCGGCAAAATTGAATGAATCTCAGCAATTGCTTCAGAGTCAATTACCTTAAGTTAAAAATTAACAAGAAAACAAGCAAAAAAGTACCTTAATGACAAATTGTTTGTCATAAGAAATAAACAATCTGCCTGAACTACTTGACTCATTTGGTTTTGATTCAGGTTCTTGCATTGTCAATGAACACTGAATTTTTAAATAAAAAAATCTTTTAAATATTAGAACTACCAAATATTCACTCTGATCAACACCAAATTGTTCGCGTATATTTCGGAACACATCTGAAGTTTTAAAATAAAATTATAAATTTTTATAACAGACTGGGGCAGTAGTCTTTGAATTTGAAATGGCTTGGCATTACATCCCTAAATAATTTTGTCTTTTATTTATTTATAAAATAAAAATCAGTTTAGTCCGCAAGTTTCAGTGCTTTTTGTGTGTATAAGTGGGAACGGAATCCAGATTTAATTTTATACGCAGATTTCATTTTATAAACGACCAAAACTAGGTTGAACCTTGCGGACTAAACTGTTCCATCAGAAAAAGATTTTAAATAAATTTACTTGTTAAATGAGTGATTGCTAACTTTAACTTTAGAATAAGCTTTAAAGTCATCTGGCATTAATAAAGCCGGCGGCGGAACATGCATCAATTCTCCAACCTTTTAAAAAATATTTTTAAATAGAAAAAAGAATTTTAACCATGTGATTGACTCCCCACATAAACACAGAAATCAGCGGCTCTTTTGTACGAAACAATTTCCATTTTGGAACCAAAAGTTTTTTATGTCCTGTCCTAATTTTTCGGCTTTTGCTTTTTGACTTGCCTGCCATTAAACTTTTCAAATTTATTTAATTAGTATTTAGCTGTCAAAAATTTAAAGAAATTAAAAAAAAACAAAACGAAATACAGCTGTCTAGAAAAGATTGTTCATAATAGATAACGGTACTTTCCTGTTATGACGCAACAGTCAGTTTTTTCGTCAGTTTTTTCGAAAATTATGTAAAAATGGTCAGTCTGAACAATAATTGTAGAACCCATCGAGCTGAGTCGAATGATACCAAAATCAACGAATTCTGAGGAGATTTGACAAAGTTATGACATTATTTAGACCTACCGGAGTCGACGACTTATGTCATAACTTTGTCAAATCAAGTCGGATTTGGTTGATTCTGGTCTCATTCGACTCAGCTCGACGAGCTCTTTCGAATGAGTTATGATTTGTATAGATTTTCGTCTTTATGATTTTGTGCCCCTGTGGTTTAGGGGTCTGTATTTCGGTCAAATCAAGTCGAATTTTGTTGATTTTGGTGTCATTCGACAAAGCTCGATGTGTTCTACAATTGTTGTTTAGACTGACCATTTTTACATAATTTTTGAAAAAACTGACGAAAAAACTGACTGTTGCGTCATAACAGGAAAGTACCTAGATAACATTTAAAAATTGACATTTGCGTACATTATGTAAACAAAAAAAAACATTTAAACGCGAATAAAATTAAAAATTGTTTTCGAATAATAAACAAAAATATTTTGTTGAAATTTAGTAAATACCATATAAAGTAAACAAAAAATTTAAAAAATATTAGGTAATTTATACAGAAAATAAATCACAATAAAATAAAGTTAAATTGACTAACAATAAAAGAGATCATTTACAATTAGATTTTTGTATTTCTGTACTAGATATTTGCGTTTTAGGAAATCGACAAAATTTTCTTAAAAAAGCTACAAACGGCCCCGCATCGAAATCATCGAGATCTTGTGGCAACGATTTTCCAAATGTTTCTGGTGCCATCATCTAAAATATATAAAATTAAAATTTCCTATTAAAATTTCACCGAAAAAATTATAGCCACAACTGACAACAAAGCAATTATTCCCTTTTGCATATTCTCATCTTCCTTAAAATAAAATTTATTAATTTTTAAAGATAAAACAAACAATTCTATTCAAATATGGAGCCAAAGAAGATCCAATTTCCCCAGCCGTTGAAATAAGTCCATAGCTCATATTTCTGACAGTAGTAGGTGCCATTTCGCTAAGAAGAAGAGGTGCTGATGCCCAAGCAATTGTGTTCATAATTTTGGCGATTAATGACAAAATCAAAAAAGGAGTTGTTCCCCCTAAAGAATTGTTTGAGTGATTATTTAGAGGAAGATACTCACGTGGAGTGAAAATTGTTAATCCTAATGATATAGTTTGGCCACTAATTGAAAGAAATGTAACTGTACGTCTGCCAAATATCATCAATAAAAGCATAGCAATAATTCCAGCTGGAATTTCTACTGCAGCTGATAAAAAGAATCCGACCATTCTATTTTCATGCATATCAACACTGTGTAAGGTTAATACCCAATATACAAAATTGAGGACAACGCTAAAGATAAAAGTTGTAGAGTATTTAATCAAAGAAAATTTTGAATGAAAAAGGAGAGAATAATTAATGAAAGTAATCTCCCCTTTTTCCATTCAAAATATTCTCAGAATCAGTGCAAAATTCCTAATATTATTTAAAAGCCCTTACAAAATATAACAATTTAATATCAAATGGAAAGCAAAAGAAGGCTTTTTGAACAAATCAAGAAAATTTCTTTTTACTCTAATTTTGTTTGTTTGATTTGAATCATTTTGACATTCTTCTAAATTTACTTTTGTTCTGTTTACATATTGAGATAAATTTAAATATCTAAAAAATAACAAAAGACAAGTATTTTTAATTCCAAAAATTCAACTCACTTTTGTACTTTTTCTGTTTCTTTATTTGTAATTAACCAATGTAATGATTCTAAAAAATATATTAATAATTAGTAAATATTTTTTTAAAAAACCTGGAAAAGCCCAATAATATGATAATGTAAATAAACCAGGAAAAACAACACACAAATAGAGATACCGCCAATTAAAAATAAATTGATAAAGAATTCCAACAACAAAAATACCCAAAACCCAAACAAGTGAATTAATTAACGCCTGAATTGACCGAAAAGAAGTAGCAACAGATTCAACAGTCACTACATAACCAACAATAAGAATAGCCTAAAAAAATAATTTTATTTATTTAAATAAATTATTTAATACCTGCCCAGAAGCACCAGACAAAAATCGAAAAACAAGAAATAAACTATAAGTTGGTGAATATGCACAGGCAAAACTCATTGCTGTAGTAAACCATAAAGACAACAAAAAAGTCATCCTTCGTCCGTAACGATCTGCCTTGAAGAGAAATAAATAAAATTTTTAAAGAAATAATAATAACCAAATAAGTAGCTAATGTAGAGGCTACTAAATTACCTATAAAAATAAAAATTTTTAAAGTTAAAAGAAATCCAAAAAATCCAAACCAAACATAAAGGCACCACTTGCATGATCTAGAAGGTATTTATTTTCACAATTTATTCCAAACTAAATTATTTTATTAAATAAAAATATTTTTCTTAATTATTAACCTCATCGGCTAAAGATATATGTTTGTCATAATAATTGTTAGTTGAATTTATTGAGAGTAAATTAGTAGTAGTAGAACTCTAAAAATTAAAATAGTAATTAAAAAATTAAAATAAACAAAACATTTAAAGGAGTAGGGGGGCATTTATCGGCAGGGATTTCACCAATTAATGAAATTCTGAAAGAATAAAATATTTTTATAAAATCCTTTTACAGACATTGTCGTGAGGTAAGAGAACATATAAAAACAAATCAAAGACATAATGTAAATTAAAAGCTGAAAAGAAAACAAAAATTATGGAGGGATTTAGTTAAAAAAACCTGATATGATCCACATTTCCCAAATTGAAGAAGTACTTTGTCTGCATCTAAATTTTCTAATAAAGAAATGGAAGAACGATCACAAAAAGATTTGTGAACCATTCTCTCTAAAAATTTTAATTTTTAATTTCTGAAATTCTAAAAGAAAATATCCGGACAGAATTTGTTAATAAATTTTAAATATCTCGGTTAAAACAAAATAAGTTTACGTGATAATTAAAAAATATATATACTTTTAAATTTAACATGCGTAAATCAGCTGTAAAAAATTGACAAAATAAAAGACTAAAGTTCTATCAAATAGAATGATTTATTTCATCAACAGGTGTTAGGATTAGTGAGGGAACAAATGTGGTTTTGAAAATAGGATTATCAAAAAAATTTTAAATCCCCAAATTTTTAAATTAAAAATTAGATAATTTAATACGGTGGGGAATTAACCCTAAAGATCACCACAACATATTAAAGTCTGACTTCCTTAATTTGTAACTAATAAAGTATGGAAACAATCTGTTGCTTTATTATCAATTTCCAAAATTAATTTTGTGAAAGCTCTGGCCAATTTTTGTATTTTATCAGTGTAATTCAAAAAATGTTTTGAAGAATTGTTGATTTTGTTGGATTTTTATTTCACTTATCGACATTTGAGTGTTATTGTTATAAAATTAAAGTTGTTAATGAAACGTGGCAATCTTTTTTTACAATTTAAACATTTGGTTATGGAGCGTGCAAGACAATCCCCTCCCTTAGTTTCGCAAAATAATTTTGATAATAAACTTTTTTTATAACTTTCTCCATTTCAAGTTTTGACAGTCAAATATTTTAAAAGAAAATTAGTAAGAATTTATTTTTAAAAAGGAAATTGTTCAATTTAAAAAATATATTTTTTTGTTTATCAATTTCCTCATGTCAAAATTTGTTTTTTCAATAAAAATAAAAAAAATTTCTACTAAAAAGTATTGATGAAATAACAAGTAAATCAGTTCCTCTTTTTGTAATATTTTTTTATTTGTCGGGATAAAAATGTTGAATATTATAACAATTAAAGAGCATAAAATTCTCACAAAAACAATTATTATTTGCCTATAACAAAAAAGAAACACAAAAATTATTACTCTAATCTATCACGTCCTCTATTCCACCACTGCGAAAAAGTTTCTTTGAGTCTCCTATTTAATTTAAAATAAATGAAAATCTTAAATAAAATAATAATTTACCAATATCCAACAACCGTCCTACACCAAAGAGAATCCCAATCACGAATTGCCGGTCGAACATCCAATTGAGTAAAAAGTTTTGTCTCAGGATTTACTCTACCCACATCATAATAATCAATTATATATGTCACCTTAATATATTTTATATATTTATAATTGTAAAAAAATAAACATACATCATCTCCACATCTATCTACCAACCAATTATGACGATCAAAAGGCATCTAAATTTTATTTTTATGAATCCCGTTATATAAAAATATTAAAATAAACTCACTTGATAACCTAACCAACCACGAATTCTAGCTCTTGGCGAATAGTTTTTTGCGTCTCCATGAAAGCTTTTAAGTTTCGGAGTGCTGCATTCCCTACAAAATTTTGCCATTTTAATATTTGTAAAAGCTTACTAACGGATGAAGAGCTCTTTCCCACATAAGAACTTCTCGCCATGCATGTTCGTTGTTAGCATTATGGATTTGAATGATATTTTCCATATCTTTTTGATTGATCTGTTCATCTCTCCAACGCCAACCTAAAATCGTAAAATATTTTAAAGTATTTAAAATTTATTATAACTAAAACCTTTTTTGACCATAGCATTCCAAAACATTTGAGGAGACGGATATTCCCAAGTAATAATTTTTTCATTTGTGCATTCACTTGCCTTTGGAATTGTGGACTTCTCTCGATCTGTAGACAAGGAGAAAGGTTGATCAGGAGCAGGTTGTTGATTTGGACGGGGCATCTAAAATTGAGAAATAAAATTAAATTAAAAAAATCTATTTACAGCATTCAAAGGATCAATTTCGTCTATTTTAGATGCAACAGGACATCCTCCACCATTATTTGCATGCGGACAAC